AGAACAGAAACAGAACAGAAACAGAACAGAAACAGAACAGAAACAGAACAGAAACAGAACAGAAACAGAACAGAAACAGAACAGAAACAGAACTATACCCGGTTAAAACCGTTTCCCTTAAAAACGATAATACAAATCAGCTTCCAGAGTTCCCTGCCATAAGCGAACATGACTGGAGAAATAACTTTGAAATTCACTTCTCTGAAAACTTACAGTGACATTCAAAACATAATACGGACAGACCACCTTAACTCTGAAGAGAAACGTCAACCACTATCACTGTGTAAACAATTTTCAGACTTCTTCTACCGAGAAGGTGAACCATTGACTGCGACAACTTAAATAAAACACGAAATAAAAACTAAGGATGAAATTCCGGTTTATACAAAATCATACCGTAACCCTTTCATCCATAAACAGGAAGTTCAATCCCAAATTCGTAAAATGTTGGACTAGAATATAATACGACCCAACAAGTCCCCTTGGTCGTCTCCTATTTGGATAATGCCCAAATAGGAAGACGCATCTGGGAAGAAAAAATGGCGAATAGTCATCGACTATCATGAGATCAATGAGAAGACGATCAATGACAAGTATCCAATTCCTAACATCACAGATGTTTTGGATACACTAGGCAAGTCTATGTACTTCACAACACTTGATTTGGCATCTGGCTTCCACCAGATTCAAATGAATCCCTCTGACATTGAGAAAACAACCTTCAATGTTGAAGGAGGTCACTATGAGCACCTGAGGATGCAAATGGGCCTCAAGAACAGTCCAGCAACGTTTCAGCTCTGTATGGATAACATTCTCAGATATTACGTTAATAAAATTTGTCTAGTTTACCTAGATGATATTATCGTGTTCTCAACATCGCTCCAGGAGCACATAGACAACCTCTCTAAAATATTTAAATGCTTGAAGAAAGCAAATTTTAAAGTTCAGATGGATAAATCAGAATTTCTCAAAAAAGAAACCGCCTATCTGGGACACGTCATAACGACCGATGGGATCAAATCCAACCGCATCAAAATATTGGGTATACAGAAATTTCCTATCCCAACTACAACAAAACAAATTAAAGCGTTCTTAGGACTTTCGGGTATTACCGGAGATTTATAAAAGATGTCGCCAAGTTGACGAAACCTCTCACAATGTGCCTGAAGGAAGGTGCAAAAATCGTACGCAATTCTCAGTTCATACAATGTTTTGAACATTGCAAAACATTTCTTACCAATGAACCAATCCTGATACATCCAAACTTCGAACAGCCATTCAATCTAACGACCGATGCAAGCAACTTTGCCCTAGGAGCCGTCTTTTCACAAGGACCAATTTGTTCTGACAAACCACTCGCATATGCGTCTAGAACACTCAATGAGTCTGAACAAAATTATTCTATTATCGAGAAGGAGCTCTTAGCAATCGTATGGGCTACTAAATATTTTAGACCATACATGTACAGCAGAAAATTTAAAATTTTCACTAATCATAAGCCCCTACAATGGCTGATATCACTCAAAGAACCCAACTCACGCTTAGTGAGATGGCGCCTCAAACTAGAGGAGTTCGATTATGAAATCATCTATAAAAAGGGAAAGCCGAACACCAACACGGACGCACTATCTAGAGTGGAAATACATACAAACGAATTACAAAATTTTACAGATGATTCCAAAAGAACCATCGTGAAATTTTAGACATTTTGGATATCTCCAATAACACTCCTATTAGACCAAATCGATCAACAGACGAGGAATCAATTATCCCTCAGATGGATGAAAATCCCAATTTGAATGATGTCGATAGTGACGAAAATCCCCCTCATCATATTTTGAAACCCTATCGTTACTAGACTTGATCAATTTTACGGACTCTCCTATTGTACCTTCCATCATAGATGTGAGTACAAACAATGGAGCCAGCAACGACGGAAATCATCTCAGCAGTAATAACATTCCCCGAACTGATGTTGAAGACCTCATCAACGAAGTCACAAACACAGGTGACAGTGATGAAATACCCAATGTGAACATATCTAACAATAATATAATTGTGAAACCGTCCACTCCAACGCCGAAGATCCTGTACTCACATTCCAATCTCGGAACAACCCTTGAATAATTTTGACCACCAACTCCATATTGATCTCGTGTTCTATTCACCAGCAGAACCGAAAGTTGAAGACATTTTTAATAATAAAAAAAATATATTTGCTCAGTTATCAGTGCAAAATTTTGAACAAGACGTTATCAAACTGCTCAAGGATTTTCTTGATCCAAAATATACGTACCTACGCAATATATTTGCCAGACAAAAATATGATACCCCGATTTTTTGAAATAATAAGAAATACATTCAAAACACCCTCTTATAAATTCGTTAGATGTACAAAAGTGCTAAAAGACGTTACTCGGACTGACGACCAACAATTAACAATACAAAAATATCACGAAGGCAAAACAAACCATAGAGGTATAGTCGAAACGGAAAAACGAATAAGAGAAACTTACTATTGGCCAAAATTAGGAATCGATACCCGCGTATACATTAACAACTGTCCTATATGTCAACCTAATAAATATGACCGTAATCTCCCCAAACAAGTTTTCCAAGGGAGTCAGTCCAACTCCAACTAAGCCATTCGAAACAGTTTTTATAGACACATTTCAAGTAAAGAATCAAAAATTCTTGACTATTGTTGACGCATTTGAGGATTCTTCAAACTACCCACAAAGAGCTTGACATAATCAAACAAATGCATTATGCAATCATGGGGTATAACCGTTCAATAAATTCCGTAACAGGAATGAAACCCATTGATGTCATAACTAGATATCTATCTCACCCTTTGTTTTTGATTTCAATCATTTTCTTGAAACAAAAGAAGCTTTCAATCAACTGAGTGCCATGTTACACCTATTGATTCA